AACAACCCCAGGATTAACATGACCTGAAAAAATGAAGGAGAGGAAAAATAAATCATTTATTTTGTGACCACTGCACGTTCAGCATCTCTTCTCATGGCTGTACAAGATAGTATTGACCATATTTACTCAAATATAAGCTGATTCTGAATTTAAGATGATCCCCCTCTCCCCAATAATTTATATATAGAAAATTTATCACAACTTGAGATGGCAAGCAGTTCCATTAAAGGATTGAACTTATGTATTTTTATGTAAAGAAAAGCTGATTCTTTTCACATTTTGGGGTTTTTTTAATAATTTTCCAGGTATAGAATATAATTTTTGGAGGGTTTTCTTAAATTTGTTCCCTCCTCCCACCAACTGCTACAGCAAAGAAAATAGTGTCTGGGGGGGAGGCCAGGTGGACCCGTCATCCTTTGCTCCCCACCCCCACTTCTTCCAGTCATCAACAGTTGCCCACCCCCTGCTCCCCAGTCTCTGCCTCTTCCCCTACCCCCACACCTTACTGTCAGATGCTGCTTAGAACTGATTTAATATATTTTCTTCTTTCTAGTTTTGTGTACTTGGCCCTTGTGAGCAATGCCTTTTTCACAACCTGGCTTTAATTTACTATTGCAGTTCCTCCTAAATTAATGAGCAAAGACAGTCCAGCAGGAAGACTCTGATTTATGCCACTTGGTTTTAAATTAGATCTTGTAAGAATAAAATGGGGCTTCATGATTGTCAGGACTAACACTTTTAAAAGAACTCTCTTTCTCGAATGTTCATGTGATGCAGATTCTGGGGACAAAAGTCTGTGTTTTCAGATCACACCAATGATGTAACTTGCTAAAGCCATAACGGCTATAGACTGGACCTTCAACCAGTGTATATCAATGTAGTTCTATTGAACTCAATGGACCTACTCCAATTTACAGTAGGTGAGGTCAATTAATGATTATTATGACCAGTAATTCCTTTGCATGCTTCCAGGTAATATACCCTAATGTAAACTGGTAATAGAAGATGAGACTCCACTTACCAGGAATGCAAACTTTTTCACATTCTTTCTGTGTGTTAAATTTGTTTTCATTTCCACCGCAACCACCATACCAGAACCTTGCACAGCTTTTGGTATCTGAGTCATAGTACCATTTTAGCGTAAAATCCCTGCAGGTTCCTTCTTCTTTTTGCAACCTGCAGATATCTGTAACTACAAAATAGAAGAGAAATAGAATGACTCAACATTAGACAAAATGGGAAGACCATGCCCTGCTTTTCTGTAGTTTCACAGACGTACGAAGTCAAACATGTCCTGTTAGAATACACATGCAAAGACAGAGACTCACTGTTTTCAGCAGACCTCTGGTTATGGATGCCATGCAGTTTTAAAGAAGCAACCTCCTTATTAAAACAGAAATCACAGGTTGATGCTGTGCTCCCTGCTGCGATGTGCAGCGCTGGCCAGAGCTGCACTCCACTGAGCGCCTGTGCCCTGAGCATCTCACCTGCTGCTGCTGCACCATGGGAGCAGTGCAGGGGTTTCCCCACACACCCCCTGCCCTCCCTCACACCCCACAAACCCCACAGACCCATACCATGCTCCCACAAAGCCCCACATATACACAACCCCCCAACATACTCTATGCCTCTGCACACACACCGCCACACCCCCTCACAAACCCTCCACACAGACCCCTACATCCTACCATACACATACACCTACACCCTCTCACACCCCACCACACTCGCGCACACACTCCACCCACACCCAAACATACAAACACACACACCATACACACACACAATATACAAGACTAAGAATTTATTTTTGAGTCAATATATAGTCACCGCTATATACAATACACAAACACAAATCATGACAAAATATTTTTCATAATAAAATTAAAATATGTTATAATCAATATTTGACTTAGTGTATGATTTGGGAGTTTTTTCTGGTTCTAAGATGGCAAACACCCCCCACAATGAGGATTTCTGGGGGGCAAGGGGAGGGACTTCTAGTGACAAAGGTCATGGGTTAGGGGTGGGACTTCCAGTCCCAAGATGGCGACAAGGGGGCAGGGCAACCGTCAAGGGGTGAGGCTACCCATGCAGCCCTCGACAGCTCAACAAAACTTATTAAGCGACCTTCCACCTGAAATAGTTGCCAGCCCCTGTTGTAGAATATCTATCCCTGGAAATTTTCAAGAGCAGTTTTGACAGACACTGAGTGCATCTATATGTGCAATTAATTCAGAACAATAAGCTCTGGAGCAGTTTGAGCTGAAGTAAACTACTCCCAGGTGCAGCAGCATCTACACATGTGCCCAGGACAGCAGTAATTTGAACTAGCCCAGAGCAATTTATGCCAGGGCCGCTCCTGCCCTGCTCTGCCCCAGGCTCCAGGTGGCAGCATCAGCTGGTGGAGCAGTTGGCCGGGGCACAGGGGTACTTAAAGTGTAGAGCCATGTGGTTAGGTGGCAGCAGAGCTGTCCCTAGGGTACAGCGAATTGGGGTGACCACCCCAGGCCCTGTGCTTTGGGGGGGCCCCATGGAGCTGGGCAGAGAGGCCATGGTCCCTCCTGTGGGGGCTGCCTGGAGCTAGTGGCTCACACCCATGCCATGGAAGAAACACAGAGCCCACCCCCCGCCTTTGCAGGGGTGCCACAGCCCTGCACAGTGTTAAGAGGGTCCTGCACAGACTGATTTTCCCTGGGCCCCGCACCCTGCTAGGGTTGGCTCTGGGTGGCAGGCAGGAATCTGGCCCCCTGCTGGCTGGGCTGACCAGATACAATTTAAGCCCACGGTTAGCATCTAAATGTGCATTTAATTGCAGTTAATTACTCCACTGTAAGATAGTACTGTCTCTGACAATACTATTTTATGGCAGTATTAATTAGTTTACTGCAGCCTAATAGCATTGCACTTTTAAATGGTGACACTTTACTCTGCAGCTGAATAGTCTACTCCACAGTAAAGCACACGTGTAGACATGGCCACTTGGTTTAGTCAGAGCTGATCCTGCCTTGAGCTCAGGAGGACATTTGATCCAACTGAACCAAATGACTTCCTGAGATTTCTTCCAGCCCTACTTTTCTATGATTCTGTAAACTCCTAAAAATTACTGAGATTTAGCTTCCACTTACTTTGAGATAGAACAGACACACAAAACTATTAGAACAGCTTGAAACAGGGCAAATCCCCCTCTCTCCCCCTGCCATCAGCATAATTGTGTTGTTTGTCCATACCCTATGTCACAGATTAGTAAATATTTGCTAACAGATTATGCAATTAGGATCGCTCTCACAGTGGCTTCTGGCTACACTGTGCTCTGCAATCCCAGGAGGCTACAAAAATGAAAGTGGTCAAGTTTTTGACAGCAAGCAAAAAGTAGAAGTCTCCCAGCTGGGCTTATTGTGTAGCAACTCATACAAAAGACATAATAAGAAACCGTGTATCATCCAAGAGATTCACCACCCAAGACAGTCTGGCACAAGCATGAAAAAAAGGATTTATAAAGCCACAGCCTTTCCTAGAAATACAATTTACAGCATTCAAATAATTTGCCGTGTAAAAAGTGCTGCTTTCTGCTGAGCACTACAGTATCAACTATTGCCTTAAATGGCCATGATGTGATGGGCAGAATCTGGCAAAAATATTTCACCATTATTAGCTGTAGTAGTTCTGTGCTTGGCCAAGAACAAAATGAAAACTAATGAGAACACGTTCCATAGGGCAGTGAGTACAGTGGCAAAATGTTTGCAAACAGATAAAAATAACATAGGAACTCCTTTGTCCTGTAGAAACCTGAAAACTTATAGCACAGGATCAATGGTCTAATAGTTATTGTTAAATAATGGTTGAGGTTCAGGTCCTACATTCCTATTTGTATTGCCCCAGTGCCTCAAAGGGCAAGGAGGGGAAATGAAGAGGACACTTCTGGTGTCATGTTTCTATGTTTGGATGACCTGTTTGGCACAGCAGTCATAGAGAAATTTGAGAGCAAAGAGTGAAAGTTAGTGGTCCTTAGCTGCTCAAATTTGAATTAGAGATCTAGTAGTCCTCTGAATTACAGGGTGGGGTTAAAAATTGTTAATACCCTTTGGGCATGTCTACGTGTGATGCTTTAATGTGTATTAGCCTAAGTTAATGTGCATTAAGGGTGCATGTCTACACATGCTCACCCTTAATGTGCATTGAAAAAAGTGAATTTAGGCTATTCGGACCTAAATTTGATACCTTCAAATGCAGGTATCAAATTTAGGTGCAAATAGTTAAACCGCATTAACACACATGTAGATGCATTGAAGTACATTAACACTGTGTGTGTGTGTGGACAGACTTGGGACTAACTTTAGTCCCAAGTCAGTCCACACATAGCATTAATGCACTTTAACTCCTGCACATGAAGATGCTTGCCTAAACCTACATAATTTGTATTAAGTTAATGTGCAGTAAATTTAGGTGTGCATAAACATGTCCTTTGTCTCCTTTCCTTATGTGCTGTACCAAGAACAGCTTAGCCAGACCCAAATATAGTTTTAAGTATTTCCAGTTGCTTGGTCTCTTGTTTAATGCTGGCATTCTTCAGTATAGCACATGACTCTAATCACATGCAGCACATGAAAACAAACAAATAAATATACAAATCCCATAAATGGTCTTAATTAAATTGAGGAAAAATCAGATACTTAAACTGTAGGAATATTTTTTCATCTCTTAGCTACACACTTTTTTGGTAACAAATTCACTGTTTATGAAGTTTATAAACAGTTGCAAGAGGGATAACACTCTACAGCTAATAAATGGCCTTCAGCATTATAGCATATGCATTCAATTCTACAAGATATGTGCCAGATTTGACAACAGGCAAAATCAAAGCACCTTTTAATTGACTGATTTTTTTTTCTTTTAATTTATGTCACCTATGTACTTTTAAAAACTTTCCTTTTCCTGCATAAAACTTAGCTGAGACTTCTGTACACTGTATTTCAAAAAAACAAAAAAAGTTTATTTTAGGTCATTCAAGTTTTGGGCTCCCAGTTTGAAACACCCTAAAATAAAAGCTTTTTGTAAAGTATTGCAAATTGAGCAATGAACATTTTCAGCTACCTAATGATTAGAAATGTTTAAAAATCCTTGCCTATGTATATTACAGCTTCTGTAATTTGCAATCCTTTCCCCAGTTACAAATTTGAATCAACCTTAACAAAACCTCTCTTCTTCCGGTGAGTGGGCGGGGATGGAGGCACGA